CACCTCTTTTTTAAGCTTCTGGTTTAAACTTCAAGGAAGTTTTCCACCATCGAGGCTTTTCTGAGTGCAACAGCCCCACCATCACTATTTCATATCCCAACTTTGGGGATAAAAGCGGGTTGGGAGCTCACTTTGCTCCTGTGGGGTAGGTTCTGAGTGATCCTGGGGGAATCCTGACCTGACCCTGAGCCCATGACCAACAGAGATTCCCCATTTTTTGCAGTCCTCCTATTTTGGGGAGATCAGCATTGGGGAGCCCCCCCAGAAGTTTTCRGTGCTCTTCGACACCGGCTCCTCCAACCTGTGGGTGCCTTCCGTGGACTGCAAGAGCCCGGCCTGCTGTGAGTACCCCCAGGAGTAATTAGCACTAATTACTACCCCAGCACTGCATAATTATGTTGGGAACGTCACAATTCCGGATCAAAAATGATCCTGGGATGCTGATTTGKGATAGCCAAAGGAAGGACAGAGTGCTCTGCCTGCCTGGCTGGGGGAGATGGAGAAATCCCCACAGCTATCCCAGGAATCTCAGAGGTTTCAGAGGAATTTCCTGAGCAGAGGGAAGAAGAAAAATGGGAATTTCAGGCAGAGCTGATGTCCCGCTACCAGCAGAGCTCACCTCTCCCAGTGGGGCTTTGCTGTTGTGCCTGCAATCCCTGGAGAGGGGTCAGGGATCCCCCATTTTCCCAGGGAAAAGTGGGATAAAAACCCCAAAACCAGTGAGAGAACCATGTGGCAGAGGAACAGCCTGTCCTGCTCTCGGGATTATCCCAACAGAGCATCCCAATCCCACTGCAGCACATCCCCAGGACTTTTCCAGGACTTTTCCCCCTTTTCTCTCTTTCTCCCCACAGTCAACCACGCCAAATTCAAGGCCAACGACTCTGCCACCTTCACCCCTGGTGGGCAGTCCTACACCGTGTCCTACGGCAGCGGTGCTGTCACCATCGTTCTGGGCTCTGACACGCTCCGGGTGAGTGCTCCCAGCGGGATTTCTCCATGGGGTGACCCCAGGAGCAGCCTGATCTCCTGTCCTGTGTCACCAAACCCAGGCAGAATCGATATCAAGAATTTATTGCCACCCTCAGTTGGGTTTTGGTTGGGTTTTAACCCAGTTTCTGAGGGTTTTCACATTTTTCCCCTCTGCCTGGCACTGCTGTGACCCTGCAGTGATTTCACACCCCGGGTTTGCCCAGCTGACCCCGCACCCCCTTCCTTGCAGATCCAGAGCATCACCGTCACCAACCAGGAGTTTGGGCTCAGCGAGGATGAGCCCACGCAGCCGTTCTATTTCGCGGATTTCGATGGGATCCTGGGCCTGGCCTATCCCTCTCTGGCCGTGGGAGGGACAGCCACGCCTCTGGAGGGGATGCTGGAGCAGAACCAGCTGGCCGAGCCCATCTTCAGCTTTTATTTCTCACGGTAAAAATCTTTCCATGTGCCCCGCCTGTCCCCCAGAGGTTTTTTGGGGGGATTTATCCCTCTCTAACCCATGTTTAACAGACGGATTTACTGATCCTCACTGCCGTGGGTGTGTTTTTATTGCAGACAGCCCACCTACGAGTACGGGGGAGAGCTGATCCTGGGCGGGATCGACCCCGGGCTCTTCCAGGGGGACCTGGTGTGGGYGCCGGTGACACAGGAGTTTTACTGGCAGGTGGCACTGGAGCAGTGAGTGGTGTTTGTCCTGCAGAGCTCCGGGCTCAGTGCATTTCAGAGCAGCCCAAGGGGTGTTTAGGGTGCCCAAAGCCATGTCCTTGTCCCTGTCCTGCCCCCAGGTTTGCCATCGGGGAGTCAGTGACCGGTTGGTGCAGCCAGGGCTGCCAGGCCATCGTGGACACGGGGACATTCCTGCTGACTGTGCCCCAGGACTACCTGGAGAGCATCCTGGAGGCTCTGGGAGCACAGGAGACCAGTTATGGGGTGAGCACTGGGGTTTGGGGGGTGTGGGGCAGCGGGGGCGCCTGGCACAGGGATCAGAGCCGTGGGCACCAAATTCACCAGGGACTGCAGGGGGTGACAGCGAGGATGAAGGGACAGCAGGTTCAGAGAGCTGGGAGGGTTCAGACTGGGGAGAGGAGAGAGGGGAAGGTTGGGAAGGTTTGGGAAGGGAAGGTTTGGGAAGGGAAGAGAGAAGAGAAGAGAGAAGAGAAGAGAAGAGAAG